CTGGCGAGTAGCTTTTTGAATCACAGTTCTCACAGGAGTGCCATACATCAAGAGTAATGATGGGGTGTCCAGAGTAGAAGTGTGTGGAGGGAGCAGGGGGTGGCTTCTGGTGTTATTGCTATGGTCTCTACCATGATGTACTTCTGTCCCGGTGCAGCGGAGCACGCCTGCCTCTCCGACCCTTGTCACAATGGAGGAAGCTGCTTAGAGACGCCGACAGGATTTGAATGTGTGTGTGCGCCTGGCTGGGCTGGACCAACTTGCACTGATAGTGAGTCCTTTCAAAATTGTGCTAAAAATGTGCTAATTTTCGGTGTTAGATTAGTCTTTCTAATCCCTGATAAATTTACAGGGCAGCCCACTTAACCTTTCCCAGCTTTAGCATTGGCTTTTGGCAGCCATTTATACTACCAGGCATTCTCTTCTCCTTTGCTTGTACCAAGGTTTTCATTAAATGCCAGGGGAAAGAATGGCCAAAGGCTTCTTGAAAGAAGCAGAACACTGAATTTTTGTAGCATTCTGGTAAGTTGTTTAAAATACTCCTTAGAGAGTCTTGCTGGGTCAAAATCTGACTTCCACTTGTAAAATGGCCACAGGTATAAATGTCTTCCCCTGTGCTTTGAACCCCCTTTCACACTACTATTATTTTTAAAGGAGGCTTTTGCTGAAATCAGAGTAGACCTAGAAATCACAAATAGAAATCCTGTTGTCTTTCTGTTCCTCAGAGCAAATCCTAGTAGCAGCAACCATTTATCAAATTTGTCAGTTACTGACATTGCCTGTTGGGTAACAGAGCTAAGTCTCTCCTTATTCTGCATTACAGATATTGATGATTGTTCTCCAAATCCCTGTGGTCACGGAGGAACCTGCCAAGATCTCGTTGATGGATTTAAGTGTATTTGCCCACCTCAGTGGACTGGCAAAACGTGCCAGCTAGGTGAGAACTGCTTTTCTCTTCATCCAGTGATGCTCTGGCAGGGGGAGGGAAGATGAATGCAAAAGGGATCATAGTCCGGCAGGCAAGGGCCATTTGCGTTGTGTATGGTTCCAAAGCCTATGGACATATTCTGGGGAATGTTAAGCATTGGCGTTTGCAGGACTGGGGCCTAGGACAGTCTCAAAGCATAGAGTGGCTTCTTCCTGTTGCTGTTTTGCTGATGCATGCTAGCAGTTGAAGGAAATAGTTAACTAAGCCAGAGATGTTAAATGACCTGAAATGGGGAGGGTGCATGTGTGTATGCCTTCCAGTCCCGCCCCCACGTGTATTTCTTCCTTTAGCCTGTGAGAAAGTTGCTGTATCTCTTCAGCCATGTCAACTCCTCCAGACCAAGGAGTTCACAGCTGGGTTCCAGAATGTGGATGATCTCACGAGGAATGAGCTGTCTGCATTCTTTACACAACACACTAATCCCAGTGACCGGGCTGCAGCACTCGTCCTTCGAAATGCTCGGTTGAGATGTGTATGTGGGGGGGGGGAAGGTTGCTTTTAGTGAGTAGCTGGGTAATTATCAAATAATTAGCGTAGTCTGTATGTTCTAATTGCAGAGAAATTGAAAGAGACTTTGGAGACTGATGTATGATTGACTTATGTGCATTCAAGTCACGCTAATTCATGCTGTATATTACAAGTTCCTCTTAGATCTGAACGAACTGCTGATTTTTGCTGTGAAAACCAGCTTGTAGGCATTTTGGTGGTTTCTTTTGGTTGTGGTTTTTTTTTTTTTTTTCCTTCTTTTCCCCCCTGCCCTGCAAGCCCTGCATTTGGCCATTCACGTTATTTTTTCAGATGCGAATGAATGTGAGGGCAAACCCTGTGTCAATGCCAACTCCTGCAGGAACCTGATTGGCAGCTACTATTGTGACTGCATTACTGGCTGGTCTGGCCACAACTGTGAGATAAGTAAGTGTCTATATCCTCAGGTTTATTAAAGGCCAGTTGTGTGCGTGTCTATGTATGTATGCCACTGAGTTCTAAGCTCAGATTTAAAGATGGGGCAGAGTCCCAGCAGTTGATGTTTTTAGAAAGGGAGTAGTTGGTGTGGAATGAAAATACACAATTTTATCAAACTCATTAGCCCATAACATAGCTATATTCTGATAAAGTGACTAAAACAATGATGTGAAGTTTCGCTGCCTCCAGTAGAAGAATCGCAAAAAGTTCCCACCCATTATAATAACCTTATCTCAAGGCAGGCATGCAGGAAACTTGACAAAAGGTTTATCTAGCTCCAGTTTTAGAGACTTGAACTCTGTATCTAATGTAAATATATTTTTTGCCTTCTAACCACGCTAATTTTATTACAGATATTAACGATTGTCGTGGACAATGTCAGAATGGAGGATCCTGTCGGGTGAGCCATTCTTGTTTTATTTTGGTTTTCCTGAGACTTGCAACAGTAACTAAAATTTTCGAGTCTAAACACAAATAGTGTGGAAAATGGCAGTTAGCTGGTATAAATTGTCATTTCTTTGCGTTGGGGGGAGGGCCTATGTCATGCCGCAGCACGTCGGGGTATGTGTGTAGAACAGGAAGGGCAAAAATGTCACTGCAATAAATGACTCGTTTCCACTGCCAGTGTCACCAGCAAATGGGCTGGTGGTTGTGCAAGCTACCTGCTGTAGATACTCCACTTCAAAATGTGGATTAATGTATCCTGCCTGGAAATTTAATAACATAAGCCAGTACTGATGTGTGTGTTTATTCCCTCCACCCCCCCAAAATATTCTTGCCTTGTTTGGATGTCATAAGAGGATATATTTTTGGGGACTGTTGATTTTGGGGTTTTGGGGTGGTTTTGTGCTTGGGTGGGGTTTTTTGTTGTGGTTTTTTTTTGTCTTGTTTTCCCTTTTAATAAGAATATATCAAGAGGGAGGAAAAAACCTTAACTGTAAACTTTCTTGTTCCTTCCCAGGACTTGGTTAATGGTTATCGGTGTATCTGTTCACCTGGCTATGCAGGAGATCACTGTGAGAAAGACATCAATGAATGTGCGAGTAACCCTTGCATGAATGGGGGTCATTGCCAGGATGAAATCAATGGATTCCAATGTCTGTGTCCCGCTGGTTTCTCAGGAAACCTCTGTCAGGTAAGAAGCCTGGGTGAAAGGCAGGCCCTCAGCCAGTGGCATTTCTACCAGCACTCGGGATCTGCGTGCTGAATGCCTTGCATCCAGTGAACCGTAGTATAAAGTTGTACTCGATATCGCTGTCAGTCTGCCAAGAAAGTGCTTGATTAATATATATTGCGGGGGAAAAAAAGAAACCAAAAAAATTCCCTGACAGGCTGCTGAGGATTCTTTTTGTTAGACAGACCGCAAGTGTTTGCGTGTCAGGCTTTGTTGCATGGTGACTATTAACTCTCAGTGGCTGTTTAATATCAAGAGTGCTGTCTGCTGAAGTAGTTGCAAGTCTCACTAAACTCTGTGCATTATGAACAATTCATTGAGGCAGCAGATAAAAAGGTCAGATTCCACCCCCCCCCCCCCCCCCCTTTTTTTTTTTCTCCTTTTCACATCCCTTTCCTCTCTCTGCACTACTTACAGCTGGACATAGATTACTGTGAGCCAAATCCTTGCCAGAACGGTGCCCAGTGCTTCAATCTTGCTATGGATTATTTCTGTAACTGCCCTGAAGATTACGAAGGGAAGAACTGCTCCCACTTGAAAGATCACTGCCGCACAACTCCTTGTGAAGGTTTGTGTTCCCTTGCAGATGAATGGGAATGACTGGTGATAGTGTCTGCCCCTCCCCTGGCTGAAGCCATAACACAGCTCCAATAATCTCATGGGTGGAGTAGCTGTTGCATAGAGAGGCTGAATTTTGCCCTGTGCCTTATGCCTCTATTCATATGAGAAGATGAGTGTGATTTGGAAATAGCAGCTATTTGAAAGACAGGGTTATGTCCATGTGGACAGAAAACATATGTAGCGAATAGCCAGCTTTGCTGAATTTATTCCAGGCCACGGACATGGTCCAGTGATCTTCAGATCAGATGCTGGGATTATTTTATGCACAAACACTTGGTATAGTCCTTTTGCTTTAGAGCAGCAAGCATATTTGGCACTGTGAGGTTTACAGTTGGACTCGATCTTAAAGATCTTTAATTTGCAACCTAATTTTTGACCATTCTACAATAAGTATGTCTTTTAAACGTTCATCAGTGGAAATTAAAATGTTGCTCTTCGCTTAAGAAATCAGATAGAATGGGTAATCCTCACGCAGCTCTCTGCTTTTTCTGCAGTAATTGACAGCTGTACTGTGGCAGTCGCTTCTAACAGCACACCAGAAGGGGTTCGTTATATTTCTTCCAATGTCTGTGGTCCTCACGGAAAGTGCAAGAGCCAAGCAGGTGGAAAATTCACCTGTGAATGCAACAAAGGATTCACTGGCACCTACTGCCATGAGAGTAAGAGCTAAAAAGATAACATGTTTTACCATCCCCTACTCTTTTTGCAAAAAGATTCCATCCTTTCCTCCCAGGCTACTTTGAGGTTTCTTTCTTACAAGTGAACCTTGGAACTGCTTTAAGTTTTCATATCCCGCTTGGGCGAGGCAGATCGGAATTTGCTAGGCCTTGGGGAAAGTTCACAGTAACGAACCTTCTGGCCTTGAATTGTATGTTTTTAAAAACCTTATGTATACAAGGTCTGAAGTAGTTAATAGTGGGGTTTCACATGGATCTTAAGGACTCCTGATATTTTTTTGGTTGGTTGGTTTTAATAGTAATTGTTAGGTGACAGGCTCATCACTTGGTTCGCTGTTTTCCAGCTATTTCTCATCTTGCTTATAACCCTTCCTCTCAAAAGGGGCTTAGAAATGGAAGTAGCATCAAACAGGCTGCAGTAAGATGATGAATTCCAGTAGCTGTACTTCTGATTTAATTTGGTTTTTCCTCCCCCTTTTTTTTTTCCCCTGCCCTCTCCTCCAAACTATTGCAGATATTAATGACTGCGAGAGCAATCCGTGTAAAAATGGTGGCACTTGTATCGATGGCATCAACTCCTACAAATGTATTTGTAGTGATGGATGGGAAGGAATGTACTGTGAAACAAGTAAGTTAATCCTTCTTCAGCATGCAGGAAGAGCTCTTGGAAAAACATCAGGAAGGGATGGCTGGTGCTGTCTTTAAGATGATGGTGACCGATGCCAGTTCAACACAAACTCTGCTTCAAAGGTTGCAAAGGCGCTCTCTCCACACACACACACAACCCCCAAGTCCCAGGCTTTTGTTTTGGAAATAAACCTGAGTTACGAAGCTGGACTGGGAGTAGAACCTGGCTCTCCTACTGTTGAATTTTCTTCTCTACCCTTTGGGGAACTTCCTGTAAGAAACCCTTAGCATTAGCACACACCATTTTAGGAATGGTGTTATCTGCACTTCCCAACTGTGTTTCGTCAGTCTCTGGAATAGGAGTGAGCACGCAACTCTGACTGAGAGGATAGTTTATGTAGCAGGCCTTTGCACTTCTTGTTTACTGAAACAAGATGACAAGCAAAATGAAAACAAACTGGAGGAATGTGGTGGAATATTCTTCATCTCTCTGACCGCGCTTAAAGCTTTAAAATACTGTCTTAAGTGTCTAATCCACAATTGAAACATGGGCTGAAATTAGGGATGGGACATGTACCTTTCAAGCATTGTTTGTCGGTTCTGTGAATGTTGCTTAGCTCGTCTTCTCTCCTTAACATATCTAGATATTAATGACTGCAGTAAAAACCCTTGCCACAATGGAGGAACTTGCCGAGACTTGGTCAACGACTTCTTCTGTGAATGTAAAAATGGGTGGAAAGGAAAAACTTGCCACTCCCGTAAGTTCAGCATTTCCAAAACATAACAGGCGTCCTCTGGTAGGCTGCTTGAACTTGTGGCGTTGCATTAAGAAAGCACTGGTGTTAAGGATAGTTTGGGTTCTTCACAGGTGACAGCCAGTGCGATGAGGCAACATGCAACAATGGAGGAACATGTTATGACGAGGGGGACACTTTCAAGTGCATGTGTCCTGCAGGATGGGAAGGAGCCACTTGCAATATAGGTAACTACCCTGCATGATCACCGGGGAGCAGATGCAGCGCTGAATCTGTGACCTCAGTTTTTCCTCTTGGCTTGGTTTTGACGGTTTTCTCACAGCTTTGTGGCAACTCTTGTTTCTGTTACAGCAAGGAACAGCAGCTGCCTGCCAAACCCCTGTCACAACGGTGGTACCTGTGTAGTCAGCGGGGATTCTTTCACTTGTGTCTGCAAGGAGGGCTGGGAAGGACCCACGTGTACTCAGAGTAAGTTGTCTCTGCTTGAACTTTTCCCGAGTGTTGCGTGATGAGAACATTAGCACATCCTGTTGCCCTCGGAGTCAAGATTGAAACCAGACGGGAAAGCTTGTTTGATGTAGGCTTTAGCATCACCTGAATCTTTGTTTTTAATGACTCTGTGTGATAGAGCCTTGACCTGGGCATGAGAAAGTTGCAAATGAGCTAAGTGGAGACAGATGTTGTCTTGTTTTCTCCTGCCTTCTTTTTCTAGGAGCAGCTCTGTCTTCTTCCATGGTTGTTGGTTTGTTTTTTTTTTTTTTTTTTTTCCCATTAGATTTTTTTACAATGATCTCTTCCTGCGTACACGTGTTCCTCAATGTAGTTAACAAATTTTGTGGTAGAAGCCTGGAATCAATTTAGTAGAGAATTTCAGCATATTTTTGTTAAAGTTGAGCTAAGTGTAACTTGGGCATTAGGGGAAGTTTGATCATTCTTTCCTGACAGTAGAGTTGCATTAGCGAAAGTCTGCATGTTTAATGTTGTCTGTCTTTTGCTTTGCAGACACAAACGACTGCAGTCCTCATCCTTGGTGAGTTTAATATATCTATCTTTCATCTTTTGCTTCTTTTTGTTGCTTTAGAATCCTAGATTCTTTTTATCCGTAGCTGCTTTATAATACGTGTAATGACTTTTCTGTGTAGTTATAATAGTGGCACTTGCGTGGATGGAGACAACTGGTACCGCTGTGAATGTGCTCCAGGCTTCGCAGGTCCCGACTGCAGGATCAGTAAGTGTTCCGATGGTGCTCTGCCTTGATTTTTTTGTCTCGCTTGAATCTTGTTGCAAGACAATCATCTTAATTGAGTTAAGTGGTAGATCAGATTAATGATAGACAGCCTGTGTCTCCTGTGTCCATCCCTAGATCTGTAGCAGATGTGGGGAGGGCAGGAATTGCACTGAAAATGAAAGAAAACTTAGTTTGTTCAACTGGAGCTGAAGCCCCTTGGTTCAGCTGAATGGGCAAAATGCCCTTCAGGGTTGTCTTTCCAGTTAGAGTGTGTCTGTGTGGCAGAGGTTTCTGCCTGAGATAAAAGTGTGCCAGCCAAAAACCTTGTCAATTAATAATCCACCTACAAGCCCTGAGGTGCTGTATGCACTTCCCTGTAATTTAATAATAATTACAGGTAGGAGGACACTAACACTTTTTTTTTTAATAACAGCCATGGAAATAGTAGTTTTGTAGTAGCAACACAACTGGAAAGGGGTTTAACATTGTCATCAGTTGAAGAATCTGGTAGGGGGACAAAACTGGAGTCTGTCAAAGGAAAGGAAGCATGCTTGTGTGAGAGAAGGAGTGTGTCCTTGCCCTCAAAAAGCTTACGTAGCCATAGGGGTCAAGTTTTGATCTTTGTTAGTGCCACACAGCAGAAGCTTCGAAGAACTTGCTCTGAGATGATACTGGTGCTGCTAGGGAGACTCCATCTCTGGGTAGACACTAGAAAATGAACATGGTGCTCCAGTCAGCAAATCTCTCGTATGTTTTTTCTGACAAAATAAAAGGATGCTATATAGTAACTTATTTCCTCTCCTTCCCATCACAGATATCAATGAATGCCAGTCTTCACCCTGTGCCTTTGGAGCTACGTGTGTAGATGAAATTAACGGGTACCGTTGCCTTTGCCCGCTGGGCCGTAGCGGTCCAGGATGCCAAGAAGGTATTCCAGATGTCGTAGCTGGTCACGCTGCTTGTGGCAAGATTTGTATAATTGCATGGTAGCAGGCTTGTGGTCGTATGGCGGTTTTGGGGGTGTTATTTATTGTTTTAAAGCAAGTGTCTTTACTGAAGCAGCAAACTTATCCCTAAGTTTAGATGAATTTGGGAAAGGGTGTTTTTTTCCTCACTCTTTTTCCCCTATTTTAAGTTTATAATTCTGCTCAATCTCTCTTCAGTCACAGGAAGGCCTTGCATTACCAATGTTCGAGTAATGCCAGATGGGGCCAAGTGGGATGATGACTGTAATACCTGTCAGTGTGTGAATGGAAAAGTCACCTGTTCTAAGGTACAGCTGCGCTGTGTTTCGGGTTAGGTTGTCTTTTGCCCTGTAACCAGTGGTTGCTTACCAGTGTTTATTCTCTTCTAGGTTTGGTGTGGTCCTCGACCTTGTCTCATACACGCCAAAGGCCACAACGAATGCCCAACTGGACACGCCTGTGTTCCTGTTAAAGACGATCACTGCTTCACTCGCCCTTGTGCTGCAGTGGGTGAATGTTGGCCTTCGAATCAACAGCCCGTGAAGACCAAATGCAATTCTGATTCCTACTACCAAGACAACTGTGCCAACATCACCTTTACCTTCAATAAGGAAATGATGGTGCCAGTAAGTAGCAGAATGTAGCTCACTGTGCTGTGGCACACCTGTGCTTGCTTCCCACAGCATGAAACAATTTCTTCTGACTGGTAAAATACAGTAAGAGCTGATGTTCCCTTATTAGCAAATAAAACAGAAGGTATAGAGAGATTAATACAGGCTTCTACCCTAAACGGTTTTGTGTCCAGAGATGAACAAAAGCTGATTTGGAGGGAATTCCACCTCCTCATCCCTCGAGAACTCTTACTTCAGGGCAAAAGAAAAAAAAAATTCTTCTATCTGTGTGTTCACGTGTGTATATATTTAAATAAAACCCAATGCCTTTTTTGTATCCTCCAGGGACTTACCACAGAGCACATATGCAGTGAATTGAGGAATCTGAATATTCTGAAGAATGTTTCTGTTGAATATTCCATCTATATCACCTGCGAGCCCTCACACTTGGCAAACAATGAAATACATGTTGCTATTGTAAGTAGCCCTGGAATATTTTTGAATGGCTTAGTAGTTAATTGCTTGGATTTCATAAAGATTGTAATGCCTGGCTCTGTCAGCACTTCTCCTGGTTTAGTTTCTGTCCCAATTCCCTTGAAGAACGGGGAAGAATCCTGGTTACGTGTGGATACCTGAAAGCTACCTTCTGGTAGCAACTGTGATAGGGTGGTGAAACATTTTTCTGTTATTACTCTCTTGAGCACTGCTTTGGGGTTGGTTTTTTGTTGTCTTTTTAAAGATTAATTTCTGCCCATAGCTGGGCTTTTTGCTTGTTTCTGTTTGGGTTTTTTTTTTAAGTATTAGAAATAGTGAGAGCCTTAACTGATTGCGAAAGTTTATAAATAGCAGATTACCCACGCATCTGATCTGGCATTAATTGTATGACTTCTTCTGTAGTCTGCAGAAGATATAGGGGAAGATGAAAACCCAATCAAAGACATCACAGATAAGATTATTGACCTTGTCAGTAAGCGCGATGGTAACAACACACTAATTGCTGCAGTTGCGGAAGTCAGAGTACAGCGGCGACCGGTTAAAAACAAAACAGGTGAGCGTTTCCTTGTCTTGAAAACTCCAGTGCTTGCCGTGACTTGAATAGCCTTTCGGAGCAGGTGAAGCTTTTCTCTTTGTAGCGAGCCTGAGAATTTCTGCCTCTTGGCCCTCTTAACTGGGAACAGTAAGGAGGCTTTGCACCAGGATCTTACTGCTTTCAAACAAAAACCAAAGAAAAAAAAAAAAGCTTAAAAGTTCTGAAAATGCACTAAACCAGCGGCCTAACCTGTTAAGGGGGCTGCTACACTTCAGCCCCCTCCACAGAGAAAATAAGGAAGAAGAATGTTTGGTGAAGTTGTGCTGCCTGGCTCTGAAAGCTCCCCTGTATTTAGCCGGCTATGGCACTGACCTGGTGCGATGAATTAAAGGTTAAGGTCAGACGGGTCTGTTAGCTGTCCCTACGTTACAGCCTGGAGTCCAGTGGAAGAAGCCAGGCTTAAGAACTGAGGTTTGTTTTCTTTGTAGAAAGCCTTGCCTGGAAGGCTTGCTTTGGCACAGGGTTAACTGGTCTCGTATCTCTTCCAGATTTCTTGGTGCCCTTACTGAGCTCGGTCCTAACAGTAGCCTGGATCTGTTGCCTGGTAACTGTTTTTTACTGGTGCATTCGGAAGCGCCGAAAGCAGAGCAGCCATACTCACACGGCGTCCGATGACAACACTACCAACAACGTCAGGGAGCAGCTGAATCAGATAAAAAACCCCATTGAGAAACATGGGGCAAATACTGTCCCAATCAAAGACTACGAAAACAAAAACTCCAAAATCGCCAAAATAAGGACACACAATTCAGAGGTGGAGGAAGACGACATGGACAAACACCAGCAGAAGGCCCGCTTCGCCAAGCAGCCAGCGTACACTTTGGTAGACAGAGATGAAAAGCCCCCCAACAGCACACCTACAAAACACCCAAACTGGACAAACAAACAGGACAACAGAGACTTGGAAAGCGCACAAAGCCTCAATCGAATGGAGTACATTGTATAGCAGACAGCAGGGTGCTGCCGTGCAGGGCCTTTACGTATCCTTACAAAGGCACTCAAGAGCTTGTAGTTCTTCAACTGTTGTGTAATATTTGAGTCTAAGGCTATTATTTACTTAGAATCCCTGTGTTAATTTAAGTTTTGACAAGCTGGCTTACACTGGCAATGATAGTTGCTGTGGTTGGCTGGAATACCAAGTGCTGCATTTCACATCTATGCAAAACTAGTCAAAAGTGCCCTCCTGTAAATTCAGCTGTGGCTGATACATCACAGAAACGTTTCATGAGGTATTGTGTAGCCTTATTACTCTTCCTTAGCATTATTTTTTTTTTTTTTTTTTCTGCCAGAGGTCCCGATTTATACAGTTTCTCTAGGATAATTACCTTTTATTTATATTTATTGAATTTGAGTTTTTTGTATATTGGTTTTATGGTGACGTACAACTAGTTCTGTATTTGAAAGTGCCTTTGCAGCTCGGAACCACAGCAACTATCAAAAATAAGTTTATTATTTATTTTTTTATTGTATTTTTGTTGGGGGCGGGTGGGGGGAACTTGTCAGCAGTTGCTGGTAAATGAAGAATTTAAAGAGGAAAATGTGTCAAAAATAGAAGTTTGTATAGATATGTAAATAATTCTTTTTTATTAATCACTGTGTATATTTGATTTATTAACTTAATAATCAAGAGCCTTAAAATATCATTCCTTTTTATTTATATGTACGTGTTTAGAGTTGAAGGTTTTTGATAGCATCGTAAGCTTGTGGCTTCTCTATTTTGAATTTATTTTCTTGTTACATGTTGCCTATATGCCAAAACTAAGGTGTTCTAAAATAGTTTATTTTTAATAGGATGGGCTTTCATGCCTTGACGCTGGTTTTTGTACAATGATGTCAAACGTTTGAAACACCTTCCATAGTATCACTTTAAGACTATTTGTAAGTACTGACTGAGGCAGTTTAGATCATTAGACTAGAAAACTTTTTTTGCTGCTTTAGACTTGAAAAACGAGTGACAGGCAGATAATCTGCTAAGAAGCAGTTTAAGGGAACAAAACCGAGCTATTACTTTATGTAGATGAAATGTGAGTGGTTGCATGTAATTAAAGATATCAAATTAGCGTGTGAAGTTGGAAACACAGCAATCTTATTTTGTAAATTCTGATTTTTTTTTTTCTCACCATGAATATGTAATACTGAACCACTTGTAGATTTGACTTTTTTTGTAATCTACTGCATTTAGGGAGTATTCTTCTAATAAGCTAGTTGTTGAATACTTGAACAGTAGAATGTCCAGTAAGATCACTGTGTAGGTTTGCCATAGATTACACTGCCCGCCTTAACAAGTGAGGAAATCAAAGTGCTATTACGATGTTTAAGATCAAAAGGCTTATGAACATAGTCATCTCGGTGGTTAACCATTGGGATCATGAAGATACCTTGTATTGTGATATTAGTGTTATATGAAAATGCATCTTTGATGTGTTGTTCCTGGCAATAAATCTTGAAAAGTAATATTTATTAAATTTTTTGTATGAAAACATGAAAGAGCCTGGAGATTATTGAGCTTGGAGGCACTCCCGGCAAGTGAGTTGTGCAGAAAGCGGGGCAGGTGCCAGTTTACATTTCCGAAACCTGCCGCTGAGTGCGGGGGTGTCAGGGTGGTGTTAGATGACGACAGGTTCCCCTCTGGCCCCAAATCAAATGGAAGGGGTTTGAAAGCAGCAGGTCCCTTGTTCTCAGTGCTAATGTACCTCCCTCTGCTTCTAAGAGGACGATGATGTGCAACGAGTTTACATCGTTGTGCAATGAGTTTATGTGGCATGGGCTAATGAGCTGACAGTAACTTACTCTCAGTAGCTAGGCAAGAGGGAAACTGCTGACCTGGCTGGGAATGGAGCCACAGATTTCACTGATTCCTAATGGGCAAAAAGTGCACCATAAAGCATAAAATAAATTCTTAAAATATTCAACGCAATGGCTTTTAAGGCTGAACTAATGCAGCCCCTCCCACCTGCGGGGGGCAGCGGGGGTGAGGGGTCTGACTGTCTCCCTGCAGCACCCTTCTGTGATGAAACTGCAGCCTTGTTTTGGCGAAGTGCAGGTAGGAAGCTGAAGGCACAAGTAACACAAACCCAAGGGAAAAATAGCCAGTAGGGTCAGGCTGCTGCTTGGACTTCGGCTTAAACCAACCCACGGCAAGGTCAGGCCTTGGCATCCATATTTTGTTGGTAGCAAATACAGATACTTTAAATAAAGCTTGCTGCGATACCATGAACACTCAAACAATCTGACAGCAAGACAGACTCTGTTCTGTACCTCCTTCACAGCTTGCTCTCAAAAAAATCCCCTGATAAAACCAATTTAGCATTACCTTTTTTCTATTATAGTGTTACTTTTTATTTCAAACTCCCTTTCAAAGGAAATTTCTAACTTGCTGCCACATGGCCCTGAGAGGGGGGATGGCTCCTGCTCTTCACCAGCACCTGCCACCTAACTGAAGTACTGGAGAAGCGTGGGTTTACCACCTGCTGCACGGGGAAGTCGAGCAGCTTCACTTGGCCTGACCACTTCAGTAATTCCTCATCAAACAAATCCCATGAGTAGTTATTGCCCTCTGTTCCCTGACTTCTGCAGCCTGCAATAAAGCAAGCGCATTGTCTCTAAAAAAGCCACTTGCAGGTAATTAATAGAATCTTCCACCTGCCTCAACAGCACAGAGCGAGGCTGTTGTTGACCGAGCGCTCTTCTGGACTTTTAGCGTTGAATTCCCCATCTTCCTGGAGCCTACCATCCACGCAGGTCTCAAATGCAATAATGCAGAAGCCAACTACCTCTTCTAAATGACCAAAACATTTCTACCTGAATTGGTAGGAATAAATCCTGAGTCTGCCCCTTCTATTAAGCAAAAATAAATAAATAAATAAATAAATAAATGAGGCTTTTGCTAGCCCTGGGAACATATATTTGACAGGCTACTTTGAAACCTACTGAAGCAAATGCTAATTACAGGCTTCAGTACAGTGACACAGCTGGTTAGATCTCTGGAGCCTCAGTGAAGAGCAAAACCTGGGTTCCTCAAGCTTCAAAACTTGCTGAAGCCTTGAGCGCAGCGTTCATGTCTTTACTTCCAGCCTTTCCTGTGCTACAGAAGTACCCTACCGGCCCCGCGGAGGTTGTGTTGCTGCTGAGTTTCTCCGTACCCAACGTCTGTTTCCCATATAACTCCTTGCATCACCACCTCATACTGTTCTAAAATCAGAGCCGTGCAAGTTGTATGGGGGGAGGGAAGAGAATTCTGTGAAGTTGCTGTCATGGTATTTTTAAGTTACATCCTCATGTCTCAGTAGTAGCTTCAAAATTTACACGGGTGAATTTAAAACAAAAACAGTCTTCCAAAGCCCAGAACCACCACCAAGCCGGGGCCTGCTATATGGAGTGTTTTCTGCTGTCATGAAAAGAAATAGAAGCATGAAGTTTAAGGGTTTCCCATTAGAATACCAAGGCACATTTATTTTTGTGGAAATTATACTTTGCCAGTACACAGTTTACTACTCTGGGAAGGCATGGTCTATTTAGTCAGGAAAAGTCTCCCGCTGCTACTGTGTGTTTGTTCTTTGGACCCTTCTTCACCTAAGAACTGAAAACCATGTGCTTCCTGAGCTGCCATTTAAACATAAGAGCTTAGCCTACAGCTAACTGAACCCGTCGAATCTGGGTTTGGTTCAACTCAAACTGAATGTAGCCACATCAAAGCCGCTGCACCTCCGCCTGGAAAAGGCCCATCTTACGTAGAGGTAGCTCACGAAAAGGCGCTGATGGTGCATGTTACGTCAGCCTTAATGCCAACATGTCCATGTCACTGGGGGTAAGACAGCTTCAAGAACAGCTATTTCTGCATTGCTACCAGGAGCAAAGGACAGGCAGCTCGCAGGGCCGAGCAAGTCAGTAACATAAACCAGCTTAGGGGACCTAAACGCAAGACCAGCGTCTTCAAGCAATCTCGCTGATGCAGCTCTTTTCCTTTCCACAGAAACAGCGCTGGTGTTCTTACACCAGCTGACCCACCTGCACAGCAAGAGTTAATGCTGTTAACTAGCTCTCTGCCAAGCTAGAAAGCTCTCTGCTGCTCCTTGAATGCTGCAGGATTCAGCTCCTCATCCCAGTCCCAGCGTGGCTGCTCCAGCCCTGGGGCTGAAGGCAGCCTGGCCTCCCCAGCCCTCCAGGGGCCCAGCTCCCTACCCCTGCCCTTCACAGAGTCCCTCTGGAACAAGTCACAAGGCAGAGGCTTAATGTGTTTATTAGAGTAGGCAAAGATGAGAAGTTCTGACAAGGGAAGTGCCAAATTCAGCCTTTTCCTCCCCAAAAGATGGAAGTGATTGCATAAGCTCCCTCTCCCCTTCTAAACGGAGCAAGAATATTTAAGTGTATTTTAGAATTTTTTAACTTCCTCTTTTTCAGTATTGACACCAGTGGCCATCACAAAGACTGTTTACCAGCGCAGACAGAGCTTGCTTTTAAAGGTTAGCTACTGTTCCCCACAGAGGGAAAACCCAGTAAAAATGCTGTGCCGTGATGAATTCCCATTCCTGGGGGTGAGGAGAAGGAGAGCGGTGAAGGCTCTGTAGGGATTGTTGGCCACCGGACGGAGGTTCAGCAGATGGCTTACCTCGCGCTGGGGCAGGGCGGGAGCGGTGCGGTATCAGCAAGGGCATCAGACCAGAGCTCCAGCCCAGAGCTTCCAGTGAGCGCCTTCTCTGTGATGTGCAAATTGTTTCAACCAGTTTCTCTACAGGGTGGAGAAATAAATCTCTATTCTTTTCATTCTAGCACTATGAGATCATATTAATATTAAAAAGGGGCATGCCCATCTCTAGAATTATAGCTCAAGACACTTTTCTTTAAAGATCTGCTGCATAAAGCAAAAAGACAATTATTCTGGCAGCAAATACAGCAGTTATGGAGCTAGATTAGCCATTCCTACTACCGAGGTACCAGGTCTCAGCTATACTAGAGGATCTGACTTCCACAGAATGGGAGCAAACTGCTGGAATTCTCACTGAAAAAAGGTGCATTGGCAGCCCTCACAGGAACCAATTCCCAGCTCCGGAATAACCAAAATGGATAGTAAAGGAGGGCGGATGGTGGAGGTTAATTCCCTGGACAGTTTCCAGGTTACGGCTGAAATGCCCTGTGACACTACATCATTTTCACAACTCTCTTAGGATTTCTGAGCATAAGCCGACACCAGCCAAAGAAACAAATAAACAGTCCTCATCTAAAAACATCACCTTATTGCCACCGTGGAAAGGACAAGGTCACGTGCTACCAGGTTCCATTTTAATTATCTGGAAAAGGTGGACAAGATGGGAGAACTGTCTTCAAAAATACTTGAACGAGTTGATGAAAGAATTTTCAGTACGAGTTCCCCAGCCAGCTCACTTTACCTTGGAGAAACTGCTTACCCTCAGTGCTGCCCCAACTGTCAAAATAAGCATATTCATATCCCTCCCAGCTTCAGCGGTAGAATGCTTTGATATCCCTTTGATGAGAGGCTCGGTGTGCTGCTATTCCCCTGTCCCACACCTCCTTGTTCACATGCTGTTTTGGATGCCAGTTAATGCTTATTAGAGAAGAAAAAAGCAGAAAAGCAAAGAAGTGAGGAGCGCCTTTTATTAAAGCTAATTTCTGAGGCCAACCCACACTTCCCACTGCTGGCTAAAAGATTCCCGATACCATTAACTCTGTTTGCTCAAGCCTGCATCAGAGTGTTTTACTACAGTGGGAAACCTTTTATCAGCCGCTGATACAGGCAAGGAGATAACTACCAATAAGGTGCAGTCTGGGATAACCTAACTGCATTTTACATCTTTCTCATTCCAATTGCAAACAAAAAATTCTTTCCTCCATCTTTTTCCTTAAAAAAAGAATCCATTCTTCCAGTCAAAAGCCAATGAGACGACAATACAAAAACGTCAATTAAAACTCCGCCAGCATGACCCACATGCAGAGCTGCGAGAGGGAAGGAAGCTCACACTGACAAAACAAACGCCTTCAGAAGGCTACTGAACACCTCGCTTGGTCAGAGCTTTCGGTAGCAAGGAAAGCTTTGGTTCTTCAAATTCACCTTTTTTGTTGTTGTTGTTAGAAACAGGTGCTCCTGAAATTATTCAAGTCAAGCGTCAGACAGAAATGCAGCGATGCAATGGTAACAACACGCTAACATACGTTCTAAGACCCTGGTATGCAGAACTGCAACGTGACAGATAATATCAGAACTAGCGCAAAGCTTATTACTCAAAATAACTCTTGCGATAGTTAAAACCTTCCTACCGATCAACACCGGGCAAGGGAGCTTTTACATCAGCCTGCTTCCTCTTTATAAATAAATATCTAAAAGGCTAGTCTAGCTTTTGATGTGTGTGTAAACACAAAAGTTCACTAAACAAATATTTTTAACTACTTTGATGTAAAGAATAATGGAAATGATAGTCTGCACACATTAGAAAGTGTTTGGCTAGGAAAGGACTGTCACTATCAGCAAACAGCACAGACCAAATTAACCAGATGATTCCTTAAAAAAAAAACCAAAACCCAAAGCTGGCTGCTTTGGGCCAGCAGTTATTTCTCTTTAAGACAAACATGTATTTTTCATTGTGACCTCCACACTGTGGGTTTTAGTCAGTCTCAGATCTACACATATTTCAAAGGAGTGCAAAGAAGCTCTGAAAATGAAAAAACGCAATGTAACAGACAAACCCAAAAGAAAAAAAATGAACCAGAGAAATTGTTTCTGTGCTGCTGTGGCAGTTTCACAACAGAACAGAGCCGTAAATATTTATAACTGGTAAGAGAAGGTATGCTAATGCTGCTCAGAAGCAAATTGGTAATAGAAAGCCACAGCCAAGGCTTGCAAACTGCTCATTTTACTCCAGCGCAGTTTTCAGCTTCTTTTCCCTGCCACCTCCCCCACCCCCAAGCCTGATTTAGGAAATCAGGTTTGTGGTTCAAGAGCATGTTAGACCACACCTCTTCCAGTCATCTGGGTGCAGGTGGATCGTTGATAAAGAAAAAGGCAAAAAAAGATAACATGATCTTGGGCTTAATGTACAGAGGTAACAGAGGCATACGGTAACAACACAGCCTGGATGCCACAGCATCACGTAAAAGCACCCATAAGGTTTGCAAAAGGGAAATTTTTCTAAGAGTCCTGCTACACAGACAGAAGAAAGAATGATTTTGAGCAGCAACACCACCTAAAATTCAAAAATGACCATGAATTCAAAGCTTTTTCCCTGAATAACTGCATTTTTCAGAGGATCCAAGAGACAACTTTTTAAAGTAACTAAGCTCTAAATACACAGCTACAAAGAGCCTAGGAACCTCACAGGTCAGTTGTTACAGTAATAACGAATCAACTATGCACTTCTGAGAAAGCCCACTTGTATTTGTTCTGACTCTCCAGGTTCTAACACCTTTCCTCGCTCTAGCCCTATGTTTCTTATTGTTACAAGACCACTGTTTTAAAAGGAGGATGTTCCCCTGCTTTGAGTGAGGAGATGGGGAACAGCATTGTGAGGAACATCACAAAATATCTTAAAGGAAAAATCTAGCGTTCTTAGCTACAGAGGCAATGATTTAATCTACCCAAACCCCCTCTAAATGCATGACATTCATTTGTAAGGGTGCACGCGGGTATGTTATTCAGTTAAGATTCAAACTAAATTGTAATTGCAAGGTTGAACTATGTATAACAGTATGTGAGGATACGAACTACATGTGGTTGCCCTATGGTTTCTAATACTTGAGTTAAATGGATCTGGAGAGGAGAAAGGCAAGAAGGGGAAGCTTCAGAATCCAAAACTGCTGGCAGTAATAGTTCGGGGCGTACTTGCTCAAGACCATCCACAATTTTCACAGATACAATCAGTGTGTTTGACCAGTTTGTAAAAAAAGCAAGCGTAAGGTCTTTTTCCTAACTGGAACAGAACGAGGAGAAGTAACTGAAGTGCTTTTGTAACTCCAACATGCATCTGCTACTGCATAGTCACCTAAATCTCTCCTGTAGGTATCTGTTACAATCAAGAACAACATGGGAAATTCACAAAGATCCAAGCAAAAGCAAAGTAGATACAATGCAAAGTTAAAACTGCAGTTGGGAATATGTGCTTGTACCACTTCTCATCAGTTTGCTCGCTGTAAGCACTTAAAGAAGCCACCCAGAAAATATATGCTAAAAGTTTTAATATAAACTATTAAACAATTCTATCTTAATTAGTCTTATTTTTCTGATAAATACTTAATTAAATGACCTTATACCTCTTGGAAGTCTATCAGAGATGTGCTTTTTACTCCCTTCCTGGCCCGGTATCTCAAGCCCACACAAAAGACAACAGTAAACATACCTCAGGCTATTCTTCCTCCAAACCCAGGTTTATCTGCAGCCTCAGTTTTGCTTGTTACTAGGGAAGCCCTTTTTGCAGAGCCTGAAGATTGGTAAGCTTAGCAACCTTATTGCAAAGCACCACAAGAAACATCACGCAAACAGGCTGAAAGAAAAAAAAAAAAAAAGACTATGTCTTCTAGCAGGCATGCAGAATCTTTTTGACTTATCACAAAAGCAGAAGTTGTTCATAGCAGAAAGATGCCAGTCAATTGACAGTGTTATGCTGTCAACTGTCGAGTTGCTAACTCTCATAAGGACCTGCATTACACTACCAATCTAAAGCTTACAGATGTGAGTCTTCTTATTAACCTAAATGAGGATATCCACAGTCGTAAGTATAAGTCAGTAAGATTTTACAAAATTGCTTCACACAAAATGGCTGTGGTCAGACTGATTTTGAGAGAATGATGAAGGAAAATTGCTTATAATTTTATTATAAACATTTTAAAGATATAAGCATGAAATAAAAAACTACATTTCCTTAGCCATTGGCATAGAACTTACAAAAGCAGTACTAAAAAGCACCGTACAATTAAAAATTCCCTCCATCTTAAAATAAGAAATAACCTGGGTATCGCTAACACATGAAAAACAGTCCTTGCACACAAACAAGACCTGATTTTGAAACGGGAATGCCTGAAGATGTTGCATGCTTGTTTATGTATGAACTTTTCCAAGTGGCAACATTTGCACATCAAGGTGAGCATATATATAAAACCAATCTTCATTTTCCCAAAGACTGACTGTATGATTGCTTGTATCCATGATTCGGGTTAGAAATATGTGTTTGTATCAAAACCGCACAGGCACAAACCATAGTTATTTTGAAACCCCACTGAAAAGGTGGGCCTTAAAATTACCAGCAACATTAAATCCTAGTTAAAGATTTATTTGAAAGAACCTCAGTTTGCCTTACTGCTGCAAAGATCATGTGAATAAACCATGAAATTCCTAACAGAGAGAGAGAAAGGATGAATTTTTACTAAAATAAACTATGTGTTCAGAAACAAGCAAAACACTAAATAACTGCAGCTGCTAACATCAAAAAAGTGGTTTTAACTTTTGCTGTCATCAGCTGCTATGACTTTTTAACAGTACTAAAACATACATAGATCTAAAATTTTGCTTAGTAAATATTATTTTTAAGAGATTTTTCTTTCTATAAATACTACACTGGGTTGTACAATATTTATGTCTAATTCCTAAAGACTTAACAGAATTATCTTCATTACTGTTCCAAATTATTAAAATAACTGAATTTTCTTAAAACGTTTTATCTAATTTTGACTTTGTATTTGTATTATTTTTCATTACTTTCTACTTTTTGCATATGCTTTCACAAATTTGGCCATCCACCCATGCCATCAAGGTAGTATTTCAGACTATGACTTCTTAAGCCTTCGTAGTTTTAACTTCCTGAGACCATTTTCAACTTCTTTTTTTCTTTTTTGGGTAAGCTTCTCTGAAGAGACAGGCTGCAGTTCTAAACAAGATGATGGCATCGTAGGCAATTCTTCAGTGGTTGTGCTTGGCTCATTTTTGTTTATCTGCACTATATTGTTCCTCATGGAGAGAGGCCGGGAGAGGTTTTTTCCCAAAGCTAGTGACTCCTCATCAGACGCAGTCTTTGTCAAGTCTTGTTTAGAAAACAACCTGGAATTAAGCGGGGTCTTTTCCTTCAGGAATGGATCTAAACAATCATCATCGCGCTTACTCATTTCTGTATTGCTAGGAATGAAAGGACCCCCTTCAGAGGATACTTTTTTGAAATGCTCTATTTTTTCATCTGAACCACAGCTCTTTTGCTGAGCCTGTGTATTGGTCATTTTTTGACTTTGTTTTGGACCTGGCAGTGGTGACTCAGAGCTACAAGGAGGGTTCTCGCTTAGAAGACTCGACTTTAACCACTCCACAGAGTGAGGTTTGTGCTGGCTGCTAACATCATCTGGCTGTCTCTGATTAACATAATTTTCCAGCTCTAAAACAGGAAGCTCCAAGTTGCTCTCAGCTGTATTTATGCAGTCCTTCAGCAGCTCCGTACTCCTACATTTCACTTCAGATTGAGGACTGGGAGAAGTTTGACAGTCATTCTTTCTGTTCCCTGTCTGCGAGTCCACTGAGCCAAGATACACTTTCTTGGAGTCCTTGCTGATTTGAGGTTTGCTTGTGCTACTTTTCCTTGGTTTTGTCCTTTTCACACTGCAATAAAAAGGAATTTTGTTTTTAAATTAAAAAAGAATCTTCACTGCCTCAATCTGCCCTTCTTACAAACTCTGAAACACCACTAGGGCAACCTAGACCAAACACGGAAAAAAAATGCTGTATATCATCTTGACAAGCAGTAATGTTTGTCTAGTGCGGATAATATCAAGTGTTATCCATCTGATTTTCCACTGCACTAGGGGAACCCTATTTATTAATGACTAAGCCACGAAGGAGTTCACATTCTATTCCAAGAGGCAGAACTGGATTCATTACAGATGTTAAAGGTCAACACGGCATAAGTATATTGAATACCTTCCCCAACTGGCTAGATAAAATAGCATTTCAGAAGTGCCTAAATGATTTCAAACCATTTCCATATATTCACATGCATAATGTACACCTAAAGAATAGAGGGGGGCAAGGCAGGGAGAGGCAGCATGCGCCTCTCTGTGTGAGAGTTTCTAATCTCTATTTTAGAATGTTCCTCTGGAATTTTTCCCAGGACATTTCAAAGCATTGCTTTAAAGTTAACCACTATTCATCTAGTATCAAGCCCATTCATCTGGGAAGGACTTCGGCAATGGAAGTAGATGATACTCTAAAAGGAATTCGACAGGAAAAGGGGATCACAAGGGACCTGATGGAGTGTCAGTACATAAACGCTCCTCAGCAGCGTGTTACCTACAGCTCTAGGTCTCACATAGGCTGTAAGATGAACTCTATGCACAAGTACTGGAAGCTGCCCATGTAAGATTTTGAATCTAAATATGTTAACTATAGATCATCCCATGCTGAGACCACTTTCTGCTGCTCTGCTGTTCCCAGGTTGCCATATCTAACTCTTCAGAAAGAGGGCTCTTCCTAAATAGGTAGAGCTGGTATACCTCCAAATCTAACATAATTTCTAAAGACAACACAGATGAGGCAACATGGGTAAAAAGAAAAGTTGCCAGTGTTCACAGCAAATCCCTGATTCCACAGTTGAGTTAGGGCTACTGGCAGCTGGCACAAGTAGGAACAGCACCCTGGTGCAGCAGAGGACCAGTAAAGTGTTTAGCTGTCCCACTAACCCTCCCCATCCTCCACACGAGAGACGGTCTTTGTGACCAAAGATCCAGACTAACATCATGCTACATTGCAGACTCTCAAAATGAATAAAAAAAATGTATTTGCAAAACATTTTTCACCAGATTCAAACATCACATATTTATTTTGGCTCAGAGCTTCATTCAAGGAAAAAACACCCTGTTTTGATTCTGCCTAGCACTATGTGAGATAGCTATGTGGGTTGTAATAGCTTCTTTCTTGCTGTACAAAACAACAACAGTAATGTGCTTATTCCTACTAGAGCAGTAGCCTCTTAGTAATTTAAAATACTCTTTTGTAAAGGAGGTTATATTATTTGAAATTTTGTTACGTAGGCTAGATTCTATTTACCCCAATTTTACCAGATTATAAAGTTAACACCTGAGAAAGAATAGTGACATACATTTCTTTCAAGATGTCTTGCTTTATTTGTTCATTCAGACTAATCCTAAGATTCTTGTTCTCAGCAGATTCAGTAAAGTATTCAGATGTCCCATTGGAAAGTTCTTCTTTCTGCTGCAAAAGAAAATACAGGTTTAAAACATGACACGTCAAGCTATGATTATTCAACAGAAGAACTCCATTGCTAATACTAAGCTTTACAGATGTTTTTTATTATTTTGATCTGAGCAGTCTAAGAGAAATAGATTTATTTTTAATCTTTTAATATTTGGGAGTCTAGTCAGTTCCCTCCCCTTTCAGACTCCCAATGAACATATTTCATATACTGAAATATACTGCAAACAAACAAGACTGTAACATAAAGGATGCAGCTTTCCAAACCCTCTGAGGAAACTGTTGGCAAATATTTGACATCTTTGTGGCTCAAACTGTGACAAATGCCAGGAATCTCTCTTGCAGACAGGAGCATGTTTGTCAGTTTTTTTTCTGAAGAGACTGACTGGCGCAGTGGTCTATACACTTATTCTCAGAAGAATTCCCATAATTTTCCATACTTACAAAAAAATATACAGAGTGTTATTTGCTCATTTAAGAAGGCAAGGGTTAAAACTTTTAATACTAACATTCAAACGCTTGCAGCTTGTAGTGGTTGGCTACTACAGGACAACAGGGGAATTCTTTCTGGTCTCAGCTAACAGCAGCACCATGGTTTTATATAATACAAGATTGGGGCGAGAGGGAGGGAAGGAAAATGCTCTTTTTCTTCAAGCTGTGAGCATTTCCTTTCACAGTGAAACAATCTCAATGAGAGAAGGGCCATTTGCTGACTTCACTATTAACTACCACATACTCCAAAAAAGTATTATCTCTGAGGCCATGGAGAGGAGAGAAAAAAATGTGGCAAAGTCAAGAAGAGAAGAGGCTTTGTGCATCTCCTTTTCTTTGACAACATTTTTCTTCATCAGCCTGCATGATGCAACTTCTGGTCGGGGCTCATCGAATGTAAGGAGTGCTTATTTATACTGTTTCTTGCTCCGCACTGGGAAGCCAGGATGCTGGAGGTGCAAAAGAACGTAAGAAAGTAGAGAAAGCCTGCAGAGGCACAAGGCCAAAGCGTGTACATGATCAGGAACCTGTCACTTATAGGGGATTAAGCCCTGCCCATTTTTATTTTTATTTCTACTTTAAAGGAGAGAGGGTAAAACCTCACTGCTCTTTCCAGAAGAATGAGCCAGTGAAAACAACTTCCTGTTTTGTAAGCAGAAAGAGGGTAGTCAGGCAAAGAAATAAAGCCATTTCGACAGTTAAAAAATTACAGCTGTTTTGAGCCTTCCTTTCAGAAGCAACTTACGCAAACATTTTTGTGTCTATTGACAGATGCATGAAGTTCTAGCCACTAATGGTGCAACACGTGTGTTTACAGCAGGCAGAAAACACGAGACATACGTGCAATGTGATTTCAACCTCAGAAATCAAGCCTAACTAGTTTAATCTGAGGGATTAATTGCTGCTTCTTTTCTGTTAGAGGTATGGACTCCCCTAATTTGACTAAATATGTTTTCATATTTTGTAAATGATTAAAGAGAATATTTATTAAGATACTCAAGGGCTTTGCTAATTGTAAGAGAAGACACAGACTCTTAACTGCAAAGTCTGTAGAAACTATTCTGATTTCCAGTAACATTCACACAACTCAGACTGAAGGATCTTGCACAATAATTCTGCACCAAAGCAGCTGGAGAGCACTCTTGCTTCGCCAGAGAAGAGAAGCACAAGCAGAAGCATTTGAACTTTCCTTATTCTGCATTATGGTAAGGCTAATTCTATTAAATCTTCTTCAGTCCTCAGCTGAGGACATCAACACGGCACACTGGGACAGGATCACCAGTCTGCTACAGCAGTTCTGGAAGATGTGGTAAACAATGGGTGGAAAGCAGCACTTTGTACAAAATCCAGGAGGGCTGGGGACAGTTCCTGTCCACACGCACTCACTACTGCGGATAAGTGATAAACCTCAGTTCTAACTTGCGTCTGATTATGAATCGTTCACGATCGTTGCCTGGAGTATACCGTCATGCCAGGGTGTGAAGAGCAGACCCTGGAGAGAGGCAGAGATGACGAAGCCCTGTCACTTGTGAGTTGAGTCAGACAGGAGTTAATGGTCCAGAGTTGAAGGGCCTAACGCATTCCCTCACTACGCCATCGTCAACCTTTTATTTTGTTTTCAAATAACTTATCACAAAGTAGTGACAGAAAAGGGTTAAGGCATTAAAAAAATTAAAAATCAAAATGATTTATATGTGAAACACTTCTGAACATGCCCTCTAAGTACAGTAGATTTTCCCCTTGGAACCACACCCTGTAAGTGCTGTATTTTGAGAGCTGAACAATTAACATAAGGCATATGAGTCAGTCTTTGAAAGACTCTGTGGGAACCAGAGAGCCTTTTGCTATTAGGAGTGATGTAAACTCCCTAAGGCTGGAGTAAGTCCACAATAGAAGGCAAAGAGAGTCATAAATAACAACAATGGGCACTCCATATACTACTAAGACACTCAGCCATTATTGGTGATACTTCCTTTATTTTCTTTATTAGACTTAATAATTTCAGTTAATTAAAAAAAAATAAAAAACACTGTCTGTTTTGGGAATACTATTTATTTCCTATGGGAACTTCAGGACTTGTTAAAGAAAGAAAAAAAGCTAATCTGCTCTCATCCTGTCTAGTAATCCCAAATTCCTTTTAGGCAGTGAAATAATTAAAGAAAAATATTCCAGGCATAAAAAGGAGGACAGCAGAAACAGACATCATATAAACAATGACACCATGACAGAGAAAAACGTCAAAGCACCGCCAGACTTGTGACTTGACTCTGAAAGAGCTGCAGGGAGTGGGATTGCTGCTAACAAATTAAAACCACATTTCTTGGCAAATTGTTAAAGACAGACATATTTACATTTGTATAGAGACTGGGTGGGCACAAAAGATTAAAATGCTTCTTTAGCCCTTGAACTGCCAAGTTCTATTAGAAATATGTGCTCTTAAAATCCTAGGGCAAGCTCACTCCTTTTTGTCACTAAAACTCAGCAAAAAAGGGCCACCAGAAATGAAGCTTACAAAGTCTTACCACCCTACCTGCTCATAATACTGGCCTCTCAAAACCTGATTTTCAAATTCCTAATACTTATCCAAAGAGATGTCTGGGAATAAAAACCCTCTATTAAGACATACAGAGAAACATGACTGTTAGGCACACAACATACTTGCTTTAAGGCTTATCAAATTGAAGAATCATTCTTTTACTATCTTACTCAACTTGCTATCTCACTCAAAATGAAAAAGAAACCCTCGAAAATGTAAAAGCAGTGACTGCCATCTGCAGCTCTCTCCAGGACAGCTGAATTCAGCAATACACCATTAAATACCTCTAAAAGAACTACTCATGGATGTGCACTTTCAAAGAATCCTTACAACTAGTTGTCCTGGAGAAGAGTGAAAGGTTTGGCCTTTTCAGCCTGACAAACAATACTCATACACATATTAATTTTTTTTTTCAGTCCAGGGTTTGGGATACTGGGCTGAAAGAAAAGTTTCCAAAGCGCAAAATTCTGCTCCCTTTCCCACCTCTCATTTGGTTTCATACTTTTTAGTTGTCTCTTGCTATGCTCAGGGTAACAGTTCCACATACTTACATACCAATAAAGTAACACTAAGGGATAATTAAATTTCATGTCTGGTTAACAAAAAAAAAAAGCCACCCAAACCAATTAAAACCACACATTGTTTCTGAATTGCATTTATCAATGTGGCTCAACTTGCTCATCAAAAACACTTAACAGAAAACATCAGTGGGTCCAATAAATAAAATTTACTATCAGAGTATGGGAGGGGGCTCTGAATATAACAATGTAGATGAAGCAATGAAATAAAGTATTATCCTAGACACACGCACACAAATAAAATGAAAATTAGTAAAACGAATCAGACAGAAACACTTATTTAGGGGAGCTTTATGTGAACTTGCAATTGCATGACTTCTCTTAACATCACTCTAAGCAGTATCATGAGCTCAACCATCTAAGATAACCTTTTCAGAAGTGTTCTAATAGAGGACTGGCGGATCAGAGAGGACTCTTTCCAATCTGATAAACAGAAAAGGGCTCCTAAAGAAAGTGAGGAGGCTTGTCAGTGAAGACACTCAGACACTATAATCTAACTGATAGAAAATCAACAGAGACAGGACTTTGGGTCTAGTCTTCTGCCCTCTCCCATCCCACATGAAGGAAAGCTTCCCATAATTTCATGATGCAAGTTTTCCAGCGTTTCCAAGGTAGTGATGCATCTGTCCTAGCAATTCTACTTATGAACTCCTACCACATCATAAGACATTCATAGAAGTTTTCAAGTACAGAAATAGATATTATTGTCAACCTGAAATACAGTTTGATTGGACTTGCAGAATTTTGCTCTACATTTTGAAATGGACTGTCCTCTATATGTCCGTAAGTTCCAGTAAAAAACATTAAGGATCGTTCCATGTTACACACAGCAGTACTGATTTTTCACACAAAATGGGTATGTTTAAGGAATGCTGGTGGTTTTTAAAAATACATTATTTTCAAGATTGAAATTGGAGAAACAACCATAGAAAACTGCATCTCTTCAGTGAGGACCGGAACTGTATAAGCTACCCATGGCCTAGTACAGAAAGGAAAATCTAACTCCTGGATCAGTACAGTCTTCATTATTTACTACCAAAATTCATTTTGATTCGACACCATGGATCTTAACTGTGAAAGTTTTTGCTTGTCAAGAGTCCCTATCATCTGTACTATTTTGTCCAAGAGTTGGCCCGATCTGTTACAAGCCCCTGTGATACAGAATCCACTTTCTCAAAATACAAGGTGTAAACTCAGGTTTCTCACTTAATACATACATCCTGGCAATTCCAAATGCTCCAAAGGTCCCCCAAGCATCATCAGATTAGCTTAAAGCACACGACTTCTATGAGGGAAATGCCTTTTTGCTTTTCAAGTCGCTTATTTGGATTGTAATCATGTTTTACACATAGCAGGAAACCCAGACTATTCTGAATGTAGGAAATGCAGAGTTC